AACACGATAATGCCAGACCACATTCTGCAGCAATCACAACATCATGGCTACGTAGGAGAAGGATCCGGGTACTGAAATGGCCAGCCTGCAGTCCAGATCTTTCACCTACAGAGAACATTTGGCGCATCATAAAGAGGAAGGTGCGACAAAGAAGGCCCAAGACGATTGAACAGTTAGAGGCCTGTGTTAGACATGAATGGGAGAGCATTCCTATTTCTAAACTTGAGAAACTGGTCTCCTCTGTCCCCAGACGTCTGTTGAGTGTTGTAAGAAGAAGGGGGGATGCCACACAGTGGGAAAAATGGACTTGTCCCAACTTTTTTGGGATTTGTTGATGCCATGAAATTTGGAAACAACAGATTTTTCCCTTAAAATGATCAATTCTCTCAGTTTAAATTTATGATCTGTGATTTGAGTTCTATTCTGAATAAAATATTAGATGTTGGCACCTACACATCATTGCATTCAGTTTTTATTCACAATTTGTTTAGTGTCCCAACTTCTTTGGAATCCGGTTTGTACATAAAAGCCAATTAGTAAAGTTTTCTATCTAAGGAATCCAGCAGACAACTTGAATCTTGGCTTCATTGCAGTCTCTCATCCTGAGCAAGCACAGTGGCAACAGTGGAAAGGAAAAACTCCCTTTTAAAAGTTCAGTAACTTTAATCTGAATGGATTAAATGTTTCTTCTGGAACTGTAATCTGACAGCATTAAAGGTTCCTTCTGTAACTGTACTCTGACTGGATTAAAAGGTTCCCACAGTAAATGTAATCTGAATGGAGAAAAGGTTCCTGCAGTATCTGTAATCTCACTGGATTAAGAATTCCCTCAATTACTGTAATCTGCCTGGAGAAAAGGTTCCCTCAGTAACTGTAATCTGACTGCATTAAAGGTTCCTTCAGTAAATGTAATCTGAATGGAGAAAAGGTTCCCGCAGTATCTGTAATCTGACTGGATTAAAGATTCCCTCAATAGCTCTAATATGACTGGATTAAAGGTTCCTTCAGTAACTGTAATCTGACTGGATTACATGTTCCCTCAGTAACTGCAATCTGACTAGATTAAAGGTTCCCCCAGTAACTGTAATCTGACTGGAATAAAAGTTCCCACAGTAATTGTAATTAGAATGGAGAAATGGTTCCCTCAATTACTGTAATCTGACTGCATTGAGTGGGACTCTCCTCCATCTGGAACAAAGTAATATTTGTACATAGATGCTGGCTGATTTTGTTTTATACTCAAACAAACTTCATATTTGTTTTGTTTTCTTTGGATGTTTGTTTTGGTTTTATTTTTTATAAGCGTAATCAATATGTAGTCTCATTTTGTATTGGTAATAGCACAAAAAAAAACAGTTTGCACAACAACACTGGCAATATTTGTATGTGTTTTGTACTTGTATGTCTTCTATGTTAAAAGTGGAGTTAAATTGCTGAGTTGAGGTGTCATCTTGTGAAACTAGATCTACATGCAGTCTGAGACTTATTGTGAAGGCTGAGCTCTGCATTGGATTAAAGGTTTCCTCAGTAAGTGTAATCTGGTCTGATTTAAGGTTGCGTCAGTAACTGTAATCTGACTGGATTAAATGTTCCTTCAGTAACTGTAATCTGACTGGATTAAATGTTCCTTCAGTAACTGTAATCTGACTGGATTAAATGCCCCTTCAGTAACTGCAATCTGACTAAATTACAGGTTCCTTCAGTAACTTTAATCGGAATTGAGAAAAGGTTCCCTCAGTAACTGTAATCAGGCTGGATTAAGGATTCCCTTAGTAACTGTAATCTGACTGGATTAAAATTTTCCCTCAGTAACTGTAATCAGAATGGATTAAAGGTTCCTTCAGTAACTGTAATCGGACTTGATTAAAGAGTCCCTCAGTCACTGTAACCTGACTGGATTAATAATTCCCTCAGTAACTGTAATCTGATTGGAGAAAAGCTTCCCTCAGTAACTACAATCTGGAATAAAGGTTTCCACAGTAACTTTAATCTGATCTGATTAAAGGTTCCTTCAATAACTGTAATCTGACTGGATGAAATGTTCCTTCAGTCACTGTAATCTGACTGAAATAAAGGTTCCTTCAGTAACTGTAATGTGACAGATTTAATCTGTGTACCCAGCAGGCTGAATGCTTCTCTGGTCTTTAAGAAATCTTCAGCGTCGTTCACCCCTTCGATGAAGATGTTCTCTCCCAAAGACGTATACGTGAAATCTTCTGCACTGGCTGAGAGAGAGAGACATTGTGAGGAGACATCCTCACAATCACAGGTGAATATACAAACCAGTGGACAGACAGACAGACAGACAGACAGACAGGTGGACTCACTGAGGCTCAGATCCTCAAATTCTGGTAAACTGGCAGAGGCACACAGCTGGTAGAAAATGTGATAGTTCCGCTCGTCCTCGGCCTGAAAGTCAGACCCAAATCATCAGCTGAAATGAATGGTTCACTGAGCAGAACCAGATCAGGATGATGAGACCGGGACTCACCTGAAAAACAACCCGGGACTTCTCCAGCAAGTAGGTCCTCATGTTAGCCCCGATGATGTGGTAGTGTCGGCTGAAAACAATCTGGATGTACTTCCCGAAGCGGCTGCTATTGTCATTCCGGGTGGTTTTTGCATTTCCAATGGCCTGATGGGAAAACAGGGAGAAAGGGTCAGAACTTCATGCATCAAAGGTCTGAATCGTGTCACATCACCTGAACCTAAAGGCACTGCAGTTCAGATAGTTTCTGTTGGATTTTTAGGATTTCTGCAACACTGACATCAAACTGAATCTTTGAGTGTCTGAGGAGTTTAGGCTCCACCCACTGACCTCCATGATTGGATTGGAGGCCAGAACTTTCTCCTCCACGTTGGCATCACTGGATGAGCCACCCACAGTGGCGAAGAACCTCATAGCATATTTAGCTGACACTGTCTTCCCTGCTCCAGATTCTCCACTCACAATGATGGACTGGTTCCTCTCATCTCTGAAAGCACCACAGAAGAACGGATCATGTGATCACCTAACATAAGGCATATGTCAGACTGCAGAGAACTGAGAGAGAGGGGTCCTCAGGGAGAGGGGATTTTGCTACTTTTAGCTACTGTTCTGGTACTTTTAGCTAGTGTTTTGCTACATTTGTCTTTCAGGTCAGTTTCAGCTTCTTCAGCAAATACCTCTGAACTCTGTATTTTGAAAAATGTAATGCTTCTAGTTGTCATGTTTGTTTTGTTCCAGCAGGGAGATTCCTCCTAATCACGTTTAATCTCAGAGCTTCTTTAGGGTCTGTAACCCCTCCGCCCACCTGTCGTCCAGGAATCAAAAAATTGCAGCTGGTGTACCTGGCCATTTGTTTGTAGGCCTCCTCAGCCACAGCAAAGATGTGTGGGTCCATGTCCCCCATGTTCTGCCCACTATAGGCCGTGATCACCTCTTCTCCATAGATCTGCAGCTGCTCGTATGGGTTGATGGCCACCAGGACAATACCTGAGACAGGACACAATATGTAAAAAGAAAGATCCATTCATCCAACCAACCACCTATCCATCATCTTCTGGAGGCAGGTCTCTAGGGCAGCATCTTGAGCTTCCACAGCCACTGTAGATGGATCAGTAAACAGAAAGCTTTGCCTTACAGCTCAGCTCCCACTTCACCACATTGGCCTGGCACAGAGTCCACAATACTGCAGATGCTGCACCAATCCACCTGTCAATCTCACGCTGCATTTTACCCTCACTGTGAACACCCCAAGATACTTAAACTCCTCCAGTTGAAGCAGAACCTCACCTTAACCAGGAGAGGACAGTCCACCCTTTTCAGACTGAAGACTATGGTCTCATATTTAGAGGTTCTGATCCACATCCCAGCTGTGAACCTCTCCAATGAGAGCAGGAGATGGTATGGTATGGTATGGTATGGTATGGTATTATGAAGCCAACAGGACCACACCATCCACAAACAGAATAGAGAGAACCCTGAGGCCACCAAATGAGACTCTGTCCCCAGGCTGCACCAAAAAATTCAGTCCACAAAAATTATTAACAGAATCAGTGAAAACAGCCCCAGAGGAATCCAACTCTCATTTTGAAGGGAGCCAACGTAAGTCCCTTTTCCATAGCTCCTCTTCAGCATGATTCGACTCGGCTTGGTGCTGTTCCAAAGCTTTTTCCACTAGCAATTTTTCGTGGAACTGGCCCCTTTTTCAGTCCCTTCTTCTCTGGGGGACCAAGCGAGCCAAACTGGCACCAAAACGTGACATCAGAACACTGTCACTGATTGGTCAGGGGGCGGAGTCACTGGAACTTTGAGAAACTTTTCAAAACAACCCATCTGCCATTTGCAATAACTCCAACTCAGAGAAGTGATTGGATCCTTTTAAAGATTTTTAAAACAGTAATGACAACACCGTGGTCTAATGCTGAAATGCAGGCGTTTGTAGTGCTTGGTGGCTGGTGACAAAATTCAGAGCGAGCTAGATGGCGCTCCGCCGGTCCTCGCCATCGGAGCCTCTGAGCCCTCTCAGGCCGGGCAAGGCATCACCTCCCCGGCTGCAAGCTCCGCCGGCCAGCGAGGCTCGGAGCCCGAGCCCCAGCAGGCAGGGGCTGGGATTGGAAATGATTTTTAAAAACATTATATGTATAAAAAACAATGCTTTTTTTATCAGTGAAGATTAAAAAAAAAAAGGTGCCAGCTTTATCATGAAATCCTTAATGACTTTATTAATTAATCTGTTAATTAAAGTTAACTCGGCTGAAAAATCATAAAGACAAAATTATTGGATCTCTCAGGAATATTTCCCTCAAACATGTTTAAAGAAGAGCTACAGCATTTAGTTCAAGTTTATTCTAACCAACAGATGTACAAATCACACAACAAGAATTAAACTTTAAAGCAAAGCTAAAATAAAAATAAAAAATCTGTATAAAAGAAACAAAACTACACATCTAAATTGAAAAATAAAAATACACGAGTGCCAATACATCAAATGATGAGGAAAACCTATAAAATTTTAAATATACAAACTGGATTCCAAAAAAGTTGGGACACTAAACAAATTGTGAATAAAAACTGAATGCATTGATGTGGAGATGGCAAATGTCAATATTTTATTCGTAATATAAAATAGATGACAGATCAAAAGTTTAATCTGAGTAAATGTAACATTTTAAAGGAAAAACATGTTGATTCAAAATTTCACAGTATCAACAAATCCCAAAAAAGTTGGGACAAGTAGCAATAAGTGGCTGGAAAAAGAAAATTGAGCATATAATGAACAGCTGGAAGACCAGTTAACACTAATTAGGTCAATTGACAACATGATTGGGTATAAAAAGACCTTCTCAGAGTGTCAGTGTCTCTCAGAAGCCAAGATGGTAAGAGGATCACCAATTCCACCATTGTTGCACAGAAAGATAGTGCAGCAATACCAGAATGGTGTTACCCAGCGTAAAATATCAAAGACTTTTAAGTTATCATCATCAACCATGCATAACATCATCAAAAGATTCAGAGAATCTGGAACAATCGCTGTGCGTAAGGGTCAAGGCCGTAAAACTCTACTGGATGCTCGTGATCTCCGGGCCCTTAAACGTCACTGCACCTCAAACAGGAATGCCACTGTCAAGGAAATAACAGAATGGGCTCAGGAATACTTCCAGAAAGCATTGTCAGTGAACACAATCCACCGTGCCATCCGCCGTTGCCAGCTGAAACTCTACAGTGCAAAGAGGAAGCCATTTCTAAGCAAGCTCCACAAGCTCAGACGTTTGCACTGGGCCAGGGGTCATTTAAAATGGAGTGTGGCAAAATGGAAGACTGTTCTGTGGTCAGATGAGTCACAATTTGAAGTTCTTTATGGAACACTGGGACGCCATGTCATCCGGACCAGAGAGGACAAGGATAGCCCAAGTTGTTATCAACGCTCCGTTCAGAAGCCTGCATCACTGATGGTATGGGGTTGCATGAGCGCTTGTGGCATGGGCAGCTTGCATGTCTGGAAAGGCACCATTAATGCGGAGAACTATGTTCAGGTTCTAGAACAACATATGCTCCCATCTAGACGTCATCTCTTTCAGGGAAGACCCTGCATTTTTCAACACGATAATGCCAGACCACATTCTGCAGCAATCACAACATCATGGTTACGTAGGAGAAGGATCCGGGTCCTGAAATGGCCAGCCTGCAGTCCAGATCTTTCACCTATAGAGAACATTTGGTGCATCATAAAGAGGAAGGTGCGACAAAGAAGGCCCAAGACGATTGAACAGTTAGAGGCCTGTATTAGACATGAATGGAGAGCATTCCTATTTCTAAACTGGAGAAACTGGTCTCCTCTGTCCCCAGACGTCTGTTGAGTGTTGTAAGAAGAAGGGGGGATGCCACACAGTGGGAAAAATGGACTTGTCCCAACTTTTTTGGGATTTGTTGAAGCCATGAAATTTGGAAACAGATTTTTCCCTTAAAATGAAACATTCTCTCAGTTTAAACTTTTGATCTGTGATTTGTGTTCTATTCTGAATAAAATATTAGATGTTGGCACCTCCACATCATTGCATTCAGTTTTTATTCACAATTTGTTTAGTGTCCCAACTTTTTTTTTTTTTGTTTTTCCTGACACAACCACAGACCACCAAGCTACCTGTGTGGAGCAGAGAGCTGCCATCCAGGACACCCGGAGGAGAAGATGGTGGGGGTTAAAGGTCTTGCTCAAGGGCCCAGAGTGGGACGAATGAGGGTGGGGACAGGAGTGGGTGCTTCACCTACCCCACCCACATTTTTGATGTTGTCGGAACCGGGGCTTGAACCAGCGATTTTCCGATCACAGGCCCACCTTCTCTAACCTTTGAGTCACCACTCCACCATTTTATACACACGTACATACATACAGTGCCTTGTGAAAGTATACGGCCCTCTTGAACTTTTCAACCTTTTGCCACATTTTAGACTTCAAACATAAAGGTATAAAATTTTAATTTTTTGTGAAGAATCAACAACAAGTGGGACACAATCCTGAAGTGGAATGAAATTTATTGGATGTGTCAAACTTTGTTAACAAATAAAAAACTGAAAAGTGGGGCGTGCAGTATTATTGGGCCCCTTTACTTTCAGAGCAGCAAACTCACTCCAGAAGTTCAGTGAGGATCTATGAATGATCCAATGTTGTCCCAAATGACTGATGATGATCAATAGAATCCACCTGTGTGTAATCAAGTCTCCGTATAAATGCACCTGCTCTGTGATAGTCTCAGGGTTCTGTTCAAAGAGAGCATCATGAAGACCAAGGAACACACCAGGCAGGTCCGAGATACTGTTGTGGAGAAGTTTAAAGCCGGATTTGGATACAAAAAGATTTCCCAAGCTTTAAACATCCCAAGGAGCACTGTGCAAGCAATCATATTGAAATGGAAGGAGTATCAGACCACTGCAAGTCTACCAAGACCCGGCCGTCCCTCTAAACTTTCATCTGGAACAAGGAGAAGACTGATCAGAGATGCACTCTGGATGAACTGCAGAGATCTACAGCTGAGGTGGGAGAGTCTGTCCATAGGACAACAATCAGTCGTGCACTGCACAAATCATGGTTTTCATGGTGGACAAACCATGACTAGAACAAAAGTCCAACAACCGAAAAACACAGGCATGAGAAGGACATGCAAACTCCACACAGAAAGACCCCAGGTCCAACCAGGGATTGAACCCAGGACCTTCTTGCTGTGAGGCAACAGTGCTAACCACTGAGCTGTCATGCTGTCATCTTAAAATCTAAAAAACTTCTTCTTTAAGCTTGAACAAAACACAGCTCTCCATTTCTACAGGCTAAAGGCAAGCCTGTTAACTGTGTGTGTATTGGACATTGTTTTGTTGTTTTGTTTTAAGTTGTTAATAAAGTTTAAAAAATATATAAATAAATAAATAAATAAAACAACATCCACTTCCGGTTTGGCTAATGTAATTCCGTTTATTCAAATGTGATTCTGCTTCTTCAAATGTTGTGTTTTTGTTGTTTATGTTGCGTTTTTGAAATGTAATTCTGTTTTTTGAAATGTTGTTCATTTACACCTCAGAGCCACCGGAAAAAATGACTTTAAATGATTTTTAAACTAAAAACTGAGACAAGTGAGATCTGACCCAAAGTTATTTTGAAGCAGATTCCAGTCAGATGGAGCAGCAGAGGCAAAGGCCATAGAGCCAAAGCCAGACTTGGTCTTTGGAGTTGTTAACCACAAATACTGCGAGGATCAGATGTTACACTTCGAAACCAGTGCTAATTGCAGTAGCTGGGTTAACTATGGAGGTGAATAACCCAGCAATTGTCTTATAAATGAGGGTAAACCAATGAATTTCACAGTCAGAACCAGGGTCAGAGAGCCAAAGCCTATGGCACTTTGCACCTGACTCAAATGGCCCCTCTTGTAAGTGGTGGACTCACAGGAAGGCAAACCCATAAAACTCATTCAATAATATACTAATTACCATAATCTGTAATATTTCAGTGACTCAGAGTAGAAATGCGCATGAAGTTCTAGTTCTGTTTGACCCGTTGGACTGACCGCAGTAAGTGTAGATGTGGTTGGATTCCAGGAAGCGGACCCTCAGGTTGTGTAGAACAGCAGGTTCATGGAGGTAACTAAGTGCCGTCAGGTCGTTCTCCCCCACCAAGATGTCCGGGTTCCGCAGGAACGGCAGTGGGCTGGACTTCGGACCCACCTGGTACTCCAGGGTCTGAGACAGAACACAAGAAGTTTGGACTCTGAGACAAAACATGTCAGGAGAGACCTTCCTCATCCTACATAAATAAAAAGGTAATTGAGCCAGGAGTTAGTGGTACTGACTGTTCCATCCTCCAGCTGCAGATGCAGAACTGGCTCCCCTTCCTTGTAGTCTTTGTTGATCTCTGCAGCCTTCCACACCTCGTCCTGGTCCGGTATCCAGACCCGGGTGAACTGAAACACACAAACATCAGACCAGATATTACGAGTTTACTCGTGGTCTGAACGATCTGGAACCAGATGTAAAACCTTTGACCAAGCTAAACATCAGAGGTTCTGTTGGACCCATGAACCCAGTTAAAAAATATATTTTAATTAAATGGTAAATGGACTGTACTTATATAGAGCCTTTCTATCTTATCGAGATACTCAAAGCGCTTGTGTCTTCATTTACCCATTCATACAGCACTCTACTAGATCTCTACAAAGATAATTGAACAAATCATTCTAAAGAGAATAATCAGAGCTTCATCACATTCATACACTGATGGGACACACATCAGAGGCAGTGAGGGGTTCAGTGTCTTGCCCAGGGACACTTCAGCATGTGACTGCTGGTGGATTCGAACCCACAACTTTCGCATTGGAGGACGACTGATTTAACCACTCAGCCACAGCCGCCCCAATTAAACTGAATTAAGCTCAGAGAAACAGCAACAAAGACAAATAAAATATATATATTCTTCTTGATGAGCTGCTTCAGCAGAAATAAAACACTGTACAACACATTCATTATAAAAGCCTATTAGTAAAATTCCTCTATCTAAGGAAGCAGCAGAATGCTTTGAATCTTCACTTTGTCACAGTCTCCCATCCTGAGCAAGCACGATGGCAACAGTGGAAAGGAAAAACTTTTTTTTAACAGGAGGAAACCTCCAGCAGAACCAGGCTCAGGACGAGCTGCCATCTGCTTCTGAGATGATTATTTGTCCCGTCAGTCTGCACCTCTCTGTGTTTTTCCTCATCTGCACAGCTGATCCAAATCCCAATCATCCCAGGTGTTTCTCCTCTCTCCCCATTAATGACACTATAAAACCTGCCTTATCACTCCCTTGTTGTCCGGGGATTGTCCTTTCACATTGCCATGGTCTGTCTCTGCTCAACCTGTCCTTTCCTCCTAAAGTAAGTTTTGGCTGCCCCGTCAGCATTTTGTTTTAATCGTTGTTATTTTATCTTGGAGTCCTCCTGTCTCTGCCTGCATGTGGGTTCTACAACAACTAAATTGCAGATCATGTCAGCTTTGACTAGATGGGTTTGAAATGGCAGGAAGAAGAAACAAACAAACAAACACAGAATGACAGGTTCAGGTTTACTTTCTATAGAAGGAAAAACAAAAAAGCACATGTTAAGATAGAAATAATTAAAAATACAAACAGGTAGAGCAAGTGAAGACAGCGGCATAGTGAGGAAATGTGGTCAGTTTGTCCCCCAGCAGCATAAGTCTATAGAAGCATAACTAAGGGATAGCTCAGGAAACCTAAGCTGACTCTAACTATAGGATTTATCAAAAAAGATAAATGATAAATGGACTGTACTTATACAGTGCCTTTCTATCTTATTTCAAGATACTCAAAGCTCTTTACAACAATCTTTGTCCTCATTTACCCATTCATACAGCTCTATACTAGATCTCTACAAAGCTAATTGAACAAATCATTCTAAAGAGACTAATCAGGGCTTTAGATCACATTCAAACACAAAAGGAAGGTCTTAAGCCCAGTCTTAAAAATGGACAACGTGTCAGCTTCACAGACAGAAACTGGAAGTTGATTTCACAAGAGAGGAGCCTGATAACTGAAAGCTCAGCCTCCCATTCTACTTTTGGAAACTAGGAACCACAAGTAAACCTGCAGTCTGAGAGCGAAGTGCTCCGTAAGAAAAATATAGAAAAATAAGATCTGTAATATAAGATGGAGCTAGGTTGTTGCGAGCTTTGTGTGTTAAAAGTAAGATTTGAATTCTATTCTGAATTTGACAGGGAGCCAATGGAGAGAAGCTAAAACTGGCGAAATATGATCTCTCCCAGTAACTCCAGTTAAGACTCTGGCAGCAGCATTTTGGATCAACTGAAGACGTATTAAAGAAGTATTTGGACACCCAGATAATAAACCATTGCAATAATCCAGCCTAGATGTGACAAATGCATGGACCAGTTTTTCTGCATCATTTTTGGACAAGGTGTTAATAATTTTAGCTCTTTGGCTAGATGGAGGAAAAAGGTTCTGGTAACATTTTTCATGTAAATGGTAAATGGACTGTACTTACAGTATATAGTGCCTTTCTATCTTAACAAGATACTCAAAGTGCATTACACCACAATCTGTGCCCTCATTTACCCATTCATACAGCACTCTTCTAGATCTACATGTATACAAAGAATAATCAGTGCTTTATCACGTTCATACACCAATGGGACACACATTAGAGGCAATGAGGGGTTCAGTGTCTTGCCCAGGGACACTTAGGCATGTGACTGCTGGTGGAATCGAACCCCCAACTCTTGCATTGGAGGACAACTGCTCTAACCACTCAGCCACAGCCACCCCCACCCATGTGGGGGTTAAGACATATCCTGATGAAAATAACACCAAGGTTTTTAATTTTAGAACTGGAGGCCAAATTAATGTCAACCAAAGGGAGTGAAAGGATGTAAAGATTATTTCTAAGATGCTCACGTACAAAAATCAAAACCTCTGTCTTGTCTGAGTTTTAAAGCAGAAAACTAAGGGTCATCCAGGGTATTATGTCTTTAAGACATACTTGTTATGTAAGTAACTAATTAGATTTTCTATCCTTAATGTGTTTTTTTGTCTTTCAGATACACCTGGACCTATACCTGGACCTACCATTCTGTGTTCGTCTGTCTCTCCTTCCTGTCCTCTCAAACCAGCCGGTCAAAGCAGATGGCCGCTTGTCCTGAGCCTGGTTCTGCTGGAGGTTTCTTCCTTTTAAAAAGGGAGTTTTTCTTTCCACTGTTGCCACTGTGCTTGCTCAGGATGGGAGACTGCAACGAAGCCAAGATTGAACTTGTCTGCTGCTTCCTTAGATGGAGAACTTTACTAATTGGCTTTTATGTATGTGAATGTTCCTGTAAAGTCCCCTGAGACAATTTTCTTATTTTGGTGGTGACTTTTTTTTTTGGCCAGGCAATGTATATAAACCCTGAAAGGCTCTGTTAAAAAAATTGGGAATACCTGGCAACCTTTCTTGTTGTATGTTGAAAACATGTCAATGCCTGTTTAGGATATTTATGTATGTGTGGCTGATCTGGAGTGGGAGGGTTTATTGTTCCATGTCCTTTTTTTCATTCTTTTCTCATTGTATGTATGTTATGTTATGTTATGTCTATGTATGTTTAAAAAACAATAAAATACTTTGATTAAAAAAAAAGAAATATCTTTAACTCACATCTCCGGGAGAGCTTTAACCACATCCCAGCTGATGTGGGGACATTGAGTTTGAGTGGGCCATGTTCCGCACCTCAATTGTTGAGGTGGCTGCCATGAGCTGTGCCTGCAAGTTTGTTGGTGCTTCTCGTGGTGGCCATTCTCAAACTCTGTGGTGGACACCCCGGGTTAGGGATGCTGTCAACTGAAGAAGGATTCCTATCGGGCCTTGTTTACTGGTGGGACTCTGGAGGCAGCTAAGGAGTACCGGAGGGCCAGGCGAGCCGCAGCCTTGGCTGTTGCTGAGGAAAAAGCTCGGACGTAGAAGGAGTTCAGTGAGGCCTTAGATAGACTCTCGGTTCGCTCACAGGAAATTCTGACAAACCATCAAGGAGCTGAGGAGGGGAAAGCAGTGTGTTCACTGTGTAAATAAAAATACTTTGATTAAAAAAAGAAAATCTTTAACTCTCATCCCAGCTGAGTCAAGGGACATCGAGTTTGAGTGGGTCATGTTCTGCACCTCAATTGTTGAGGTGGCCTGGGAATGTCTTACACACTGCGTTCAGTGAAGGTGGGGTGCTGTTGAACACAACCAGTGATGTTGTCAGGAGGTGGAAAGAATACTTCTCAGCCCTTCTCAACCCCACTGGCATGTCTTTCATGGAGGAAGCTGAGTCAGGGGAATTCGGGGTTGGTCTGTACTCTGTGGCTAAGGTCGCTGAGGTTGTTAAAGAGATCTACAGCGTCTGGACTCTAGGGGTGAACAAGATATGCCCTGATTTTCTTAAGGGTTTGGATGATGTGGGGCTGACTTTGCTGACATGCCTTTACAACACAGCATGTATACTGGCATCACTGGCTTTCAGCACTGTATGATTTGTGTTGATCCTGTATGCATCACACTGTGCTAATCATTATGTTATTATCTGCTATTATTTTGTTTCTGTATTTTGATTTTATGTTATGTGTTGCTGTGTGCTTTGCCTGTTTGTTTCTCTTTGTACAGCACTTTGGTTGGCCCTGTTGCTGTTTAAAGTGCTTTATAAATAAAATGGTATGGTATGGTACGGTATGGTACATCAGGGGCAGTGCCACTGGATTGGAAGACTGGGGTCTTTGTCTGTAGAATGGTCTTCAAGATTACAGAGGAGCTGGCTGCAATGCAGTCAATCAAAGGGATGACGACAGCAAACTTTCTGTTCACAGAGGTAAATGCATGGATGGACACGCTGGGATTGAAATGGAACAGACTGGCAGGTGTCACAACAGACAGTTGTCCAAATTTTACAAGGAAAAATGTCAGACTTTTGAAAAGTATGCCAGATAAAGTGACTGAAATCAGTGCAGATCAGAACTTGGTATTTTTGCATTGTACTATACATCAGCATGTTTTGTGCAAGGCAGTGTTAAAAATGGCCCATTTCATTGATGTAAATAAAATAGTAAACTTCAGGGTACGAGCATTGAATCACAGGCAGTTTGAAACCTGTACCTGAGACCTGATTTGGATGAAGTTCACTAATGTTTTCTAAAATAGTACTAAATGATGGTCTTTGCCTTGAATGGGCTCATTTGGTGGGTCTGGTTTGATACAAGGGATGATATTTATTTAATGGTTAACTCTTTGCTAATTTATAGGAGAGCTTGGGTTGTATTTGGCTAATTGTTTGCAAAACCTGGGTTGAATAACAGTAGTGGGAAGTTTAAAACTACACCATATTTTTATTTCTGAAACTAATACTCAATCTGGGTGTTAGTGGATTGCAGACGGTAATACTTCAGATTTGA